TTTCATATTTTCAAACTCTTCCCTTTCACTCCAACACAGACTCCTCTATGATATAGTAGACTCACATAATTGGCATACATGTGCTCATGAATTCGATGCAAAGTTAATAGTTTAGTACTGGGACTCCTAGTCTCGCTCAGTCTGGGAGGTCGGGTATGTAAAGGAAAGTGACTTTTAAATAATTTGAGAACCTAGACTCATGGAATTGGCAAAATTTTAAAGTTATTACCGTATGTGGTAATAAATACCCGGTCCAAGGTTCCCCGATGGCCAATTTAATCGGTATAAATTATTTTTATACTTTAAGCAAGGCAATTAAATGTAATTATACTTTCCCAAGACAATTGAATTAATCCCTGGCCAGATAAACACGCTTAACCGTTGCGATGCAATACTTTTGTCTCTCTTTTCAAAAAACGTTTTTATACTTTTGGTCACAGCAGCCGAACGGGTAAATATATAGTGACCAAAACTGATCTGGGCATTTTCTTGTGGCGATACCTTATGTTATGACTAATTATAGTAATTATTTTGGTCTCCCGATTAATTTGGCCTCAAAAACACGCGTGATGCAATACTTTAGTCCGCATCTATATATATGATTTAATTCTTTATGTATTAATATACTAATTTAGAAATAAATATTGCCAATTAAGATAGGTAGATTTATTGTGAGTCACAATTTGTGACTACTATGAATAGACAGAATATATAGATTCTATATTATAGAATCATACAGTATATTAAAATTAAATTACTGTAATACTTTGATAGACTTTTAAAAGTAAACAAGGTTTTTATTTTGATTTTTATCATATAGTTAAGCAAACAAATGTGTAAAGGCATCTAAAAGCATTGTACATTTCCATTGAATTATGCAACTACTGTAGATTCTAGTCTAGATTCTTATCTCAAAGTTTTCACTTTCTATTCAATTACAATATATTATTGAAAAAAGGTTACGAATAATTGTAGATCAATGGAAAGTGCAAATCATAAGATGCCTTGGTGCATTTGTCCTATTATCTGTTGAGGTAATTGATAAATAAAAATCATGTTTATTTTTAAAACTTTATCCAGATATTTAATCTGTTACAGTATATGAAAATATTACAAATAATAATTAATATTAATGTGAGATTCATATGATATGAACACTGATATACTGAATCTATGAATACTGTACAGTGTTTGATGTATTGATGGCAGCACTGTATACATACTATGGATTCCATAGTATGCAATCAATACAATACAGTACAGTATTACACTAATTGTCATTAACTGGTGCTATCATAACTGTCAAACACTAATTGTATGTTTGTTTGCAATTTCAATGTATTTAATAGACTATTGCATGTAACTGTAATATGCATTCAATGTGACCACAGTATGACCACTGTATGACCACACAAGTACTATGACAGTGATACCCTGGTGAAACACTGGTACAGTACTAGTGTTGAGTGTGGAGTGTATAGAGAATAGGAGAGTGTATTAGGAGTTTGTTTGGTTGAGTGGTGACAGCGAGAGTGCATTACTGTATGATATCGTGGTTGTTGTCGTAGTGGACAACTTGTGGTGCTTGTGGTGACAACTGGATCATTGTGGACATTGTGGACAGACATGTTGGCTCTGGTGAACCGGATCCTCGATTGGCTGAAGAGCCTGTTCTGGAAGGAAGAGATGGAACTGACTTTAGTTGGTCTGCAATACTCAGGCAAAACCACTTTCGTCAATGTGATCGCTGTATGTATACTCACTGTCTGTTCACATGATTGTATCCATTGGTGACTAACCATTGGTTAACCATTTGATTGAAAGTCTGGACAATTCTGTGAAGACATGATCCCAACGGTGGGCTTCAACATGAGGAAAGTGACCAAAGGAAATGTGACCATCAAAGTGAGCTATACCTACCATACCATACCATATCTACCATATCATATGATTGAATGATTGATTGGTCAGATTTGGGACATCGGCGGTCAGCCCAGGTTCAGGTCGATGTGGGAACGGTATTGTCGTGGAGTGAATGCCATTGTGTATGAACTGTTGATGTAGACTATATACTGTATATTCTTAGTGTATGATTGTACGGATCAGGTATATGGTGGACGCGGCCGATCACGAGAAGGTGGAGGCGTCGCGTAACGAACTCCATAACCTACTGGAAAAGCCACAGTTGGCGGGCATACCGGTGCTCGTGTTGGGCAACAAACGAGATCTGGCCAATAGTCTCGATGAGAAGGAACTCATTGAACAGATGTATGTGTAGTACACGACATACTGATGTCTATGTGAATGATTGCATTGAATGGTTGTATGAATGCTAGGAATTTGGCGGCCATTCAGGACCGGGAGATCTGTTGTTATTCGATATCTTGCAAAGAGAAGGACAACATCGGTATTGAAGACACGCTTGTGTTTGCAATTTGCATGTAATGACTGAATGACTCTTTATTTGACAGACATTACCCTCCAATGGCTCATCTCTCACTCCAAGTCGGGATCCCGTTAAGCATTGCCATTGTTTTCTATTTACAATTATCTGTATTTCGTATACATTTCTTTATATTTAATTTGATTTTATTATAACTAAATAATGTGAGAATTTAACAGAGAATATCTATTAATTATACGCTATAATACACTAAGTTATAATTAATTATATAAATTTTTAAATCTATTACAAATTATTACAATATTATCATATGATATGATAGTCAAATTCAGTGACTAATTTACATTGATAAACTGAATGTCTTGTAATTATTATTAAATGTATTTTATTGATTACTTTTATTATATACAGTACAGTAAAATATTCGTTAGTATAAATTATACTCTTTATTAAATTAGTTTTAATTTTATTTAATATAACGTTTATTGCACATTTAGCTGTTTAAAATTTAGATATAAATACAGTATTATAAATATAGGTATTTGTTTGTGTTTATAAATAGAAAGAGTTATATTTTAATTATACTGTAATACACATATATCATTCCACTTCACAAAGTATTAATTTATATGTTTTGAACCCATTTTATGAAATAAGTTTGCTATATAATGTAAGATACGGTATATATTATATAACATTAAACTTACATTTGAGTCCATTTTCATCTACAGTATCGATTGTTCAATATTTGTACCGGTATAGTTTTTTAATCATTTCTTGGATATCCACATACTGTAACTGATTTGGTATACTACAGTTTCCTATCTATTAATCACTACCAGAGTTTCTAGTTATGCACTTATTACTAAGATTAATAAAATTTACCGTAATATAAATACCGTAAGTTAAAAATTTGGTATAACTTTATTTCGAAGTTATTTTATCTTCTATACTGTATATAATTGTGGTTAATCACAGAAATCTTGCATTCAAAGTATTCGTATATCTGTGAGGCTTTAAAGAGAATATAACTTATACAGTATAAGTATACTACAGTAACTTGTAAGAACTGTATAAGTTATACTACAATACCGCTAATAATTTCCAATACTTGGTCCTTTTTTGTAAGAATTGTATTAAATATAAAATAAATTTTACAACAAGGACCAAGTTTTAGGTTTTTCCACAAAATTTTCAATTTAAATATTTAAATTAATATTGATTTATATCACCTGAACAGATATATTAATAGATCATTTCACGCCAAGTCCTATCAAATAAAGTAATACAGGTATACTGTACTTATAAATTGTCTATATTTTATTTGTAACATCTCTAACCAACTTAAATTTAGTATCAAATTATATGATATTACAGTAGAATAAGTGTATAAATGTAATACAGAACATGGAATATATTTAAGGCAAGGACAGTGTATTTAATTAACAAGTAAGAAAATGAAAACTTTTTAAAAATAACTGATAAAATATTTGAGATGTGGGTGAAAACGAGTAATCAATAGTTAAATTGTTTAGTTTATGTTCTAGGTACATTATTTTGAAGTTTTACTCAACTATATTACAAATATGTCTTATAGTGATTTTTGTTTGAAATAATAGGTGTTCTAGAATTGAATGGTCCATTGGATCCATGGAACCCATTGGATGGGCTAATGCGGTGTTGAGTCCAGCGTCTGAACCAAACAATGATAATGAGAATAAATGGCATAATTAAGAGCCACCAGAGAATCCAAAGGAACCATAGGTTGAATGAATCGAATCGACACTTTTGGTCGAATATGTCTTCTCTATAATTGGTGACACATTTGCATGAATTACTTCTGCAGACTCGTAACGGATCTTCACTTTGACAATCAGTGTCTGTCCAACATTTATAAGGCAAACATTTAGCAGCGGTTGAGTTAAAGCGATGATTTGGTCGGCAAAGGCACGTGTGGTCAACACAGATTTGATGGTTGTCCCCGAATTGAGTGCAATCATTGGTCTCATTGCACGGCTTATTAATCATGGTTTGGCATAAATGAGTGTTTGTGTCGATGTGGTAATAGTTGTGACATTGATTGCAACTATTATTATAACAAATGCGTTTGGGATCCAATTGATTGCAATCGTTGTCAGACTGACATGACTTACGAATACAAGCCATAAGGTGTTCATCGAAAGCATAGTTGGGCTCACATTCACACGAATTGTTGAAACAGAATTCATTTGGTCGACAGTCGGCACCAGAAACACATGACTTCTTGTATGGATTCTTCAAAATGAATTCATTTCGAAATCTAATCAATTGTTCCTCTTTTGAAGACAATATTTGGTGACAAGAATTGAATTTAGGATTTCTTACAAATCCATAATCGCATTGACAAGACTTGTGAAGCCATAGGAAATCCAATTTACAAATTAGATTCTTATCCAAAGTTTGACAATCACTGTCTGTTTTACATATAAATGGTTGACACTCTTTGGTCGTTGAGTTCCACTCATAATTTACATTACATTTGCATTCATTGATAAAACACATTTGATTTTTGCCCAAACAATCATTAATTGTATGACATTTTAAGTTTAAATTTTGATAATTTTGGGTATAATGAATATGAAAATAAATTATTATAACAAACAAAACAATTACTATTATATTAAATGAAAAAGTGAACAATTTACAAAAGTTTCCCATTTAAGTTTAATAAATGTCAAATTTTTTACAATAATGATTATTTTTATTAACATATTCTAATAAACTATTGACTAAAATATATTTGTAATTATTACCAAAAACTCCTATCAGTATTAGTACAGTATACTGTAGTACTGTATAAATATACACAATATATAAATAGTCTACACATATGATTTACTGTAGTATCTACTATAGTTAAGATAACTAATTACACGAATTAACCGTAAGTTAGCATTGAGTTTGATTTTATCTTAAATTATCATTAATTGATTTCTTCTACAGTATATTCCATATTAACCTTCAGTCCACAAACCACTTCAAACCAAATACAAACTATTATACAAACAATCATCAATTGAGTATACTTTCAGTCATTCAAAACACATTCCAATTCCATACAATTCNATACAATTCCATACAATTCCATACAATTCACTCAAATTACAGAATTTAGTCAAACAATTACATTACAGAAATTAATATAAATTATGTTATACACAAAATAACCTAGTAAAATTTATATGGTAAAATCTAAACATTACTACATTATAATTTCAATAAAGTATAAATTAAAACTGAATTATTGTAATCTACTGTATAATGACCTCAACTTTACAGTAATCATAAAAATTGATTTCATTGTGTTTAGAAGTGTTTATAATACAACTTATAACATATGATAACTTATCGAAATTCATGGCTAAGTGTAAATATTTAATTCTATTGAGAAATGAACACAAATAATAAATTAGTAAAATAGTGCAATATATTATATACGCGATAACTTTTGTCATAAGATTTCACATTTTTAAATTAAGAGATAAGTTATCATGGTAGAATTATACTTACTTGTTAGTCAAAGATTGTTAATATCGTATTAATATAAACATTTCCCCAAATATTCCTTTCTTTAAAAATTTTAGTTTAGTTGTAAAAAACTACAGTATACCAAAATGTTCCCAAAATTGTTTTTATATGAAAATGGGGTTTATACCTTGATCAGTGATCAGCGATCATAATTGTTCTTGTTTTCACCATAAACTTTCTGTGCTTTTAGACTAACTTACTCTAAGCACAGTAAGTTAGTGACAAATATAACTATCGTGACATTCCTTACGTTCGTAAATTACGGTGAAGTTTATCATCAAGGTGCGTTTTCTCTTAAATTATGATCAGGGTATGAAACTTATAAATGTTTTTTAAATTTCCATATAATAAAAGTTTAGGGATATAAATATAAAATCATTAAGGTTGAATTAGGTTTATAATTAAGTTTTAGATTGTATAATATAGTGTTAACCAATCTTTTACATATTGGTACAGTAATAGGTAAATATTGGAGTAAACTTCTTTGTGTGTAAACTTGTACAAGTATACTCTGTAGTCACAATTAATAGTATCTATTACTAGTTTAGACACAAAAAAAACTTTACTTACAAGTTACAAAGGAAAGTTGGCCTTTCTCGTTTAATTTATTGACCATAAACTTAATTATGTAATTGATAAATGTGCATGGTCAAATAATAGCGAGACCAATTTTTTGAATTTCTGATTGAATTTCCTATATTCAGACTCAGTTTAAGAGTAGAGATTAATTATTAATCATTAATATAATCTGTAATACAGTATTATATTATGAACACATTTTGGGACATTTTCCAATTTTCTCTATCAATACTATAGTATAAATGTTAGGTAGTAAATTATATACTAGTACAGTTAGGTATATAATAATTTACTCATTTTACTGTTACAAGTATATACAGCATAAGTTTAGAATACGTTCAACTCAATTGCTTCAATATTTTGTAATATTATGTAATTTATATGTATTGTATTCATGATAATTGATCAAATATCATATTTAATAGTAGCTTATTTCTAAATATTACTGTATTAATAAGTTAAAAGCAGCGTTTCCATTTGAATATATCCAGGCTAATTTTAATAAATATGTTAGTCTTTGATTAATTTACAAAATTAAAATAATGATTATTATTGTTTGAATGGTTCCAAGAGTTTAGGAATATTAGGAATAAATGACATTATTATACATTACATTACATTATAGTGCACTGTATTGTAGGAAAGAGTTTTGCATTCACTGACGAGACCTCTATTGCCTCTATTAGTTTCACTGCACTGTTGGAGGCGTGCAGTTGTCATACTTATGGTCACACTTCTGTCAGTCAATCAGTTCATCACTGACTGACTCGGAGTCTCATTGAGTCTATGAATACCATTACATGACTTTTGCAGTAGTATTACAGTACAGTTATATACTCACAGTGACCGTATAGTAGTGACCAGGGTAGTGACCAGGGTAGTGGTGCTGAGACAATGAGTCACTTAAGTAGTGGTCGTTTGAATGTGCATCACATGAAAGAGTTGGCAAAACATGAATTACTTGAATGTCTGGACAAATGTGTGGGAAGTAAAGCCATCGTATGGGACCACGAATTGGTGCCAATCTTGGGATTAGTTGCCGATTATCTGGTCCTCAAAGAGCATCAAGTGATCCAAATGTTTGAGTTAAGACCCGGAAGACTGCCGGCCATGACTGCCAAACATGTGATATATTTGACGCGAACTAAACTGTCACTTATGGACACAATTGGAGATAATATGTTGAATGAGGACAAGAAGATGGTGTCCAACAAAGAGTTTCACATAATATTTGTTCCGCGAAGAAGTATTCTCTGCGAACGTAAGCTTCAAGTGTTGGGAGTTTACGGAAACTTCTCGACAATCAGTGAATATGGGGTCGAGTTGTTGGCGCTCGACAGCGATGTCTTGTCCATGGAGTGGGACAACAGCTTCACTGAGATCTATATCGACAACGACTACACAGCGCTCTTCCATTCGGCCAAAGCTCTCATGACTTTGCAAACCCTTTACGGCGTTATTCCCAATGTCTTCGGATTAGGAAAGTCTGCGAAAGTGGTCTTCGATTTGATGAGCAAAATGAGGAAAGAGTTGTCTTCTACTGAACCACAGATCACACCACAAATCGATGAGTTATTACTTATCGACAGATCTGTCGACTTATTGACACCTCTGATGACACAAACCACTTATGAGGGACTCTTAGACGAGATTTTCGGAATAAGTCACACGACTATCAAAGTTCCGCCCGAGAAGTTCGTTCACCAGAACTCGTCCACTGATGGCCAGTCGTGTGATGAGACAGTGGAGGCGCCCACTGAAGCCAAACAGTTTCATCTCAACTCTTCAGAGGAGCTGTTCGTCAAACTGCGAGACATTAGTTACAAGAGTATTGGTCCCACTCTTCGGACGAGCGCCAAAACACTGTCCCAACAGTTTGATGAAAGACATACCGCCAAAACCGTTCGTGAGATCCGCCAATTCGTCGACAAACTGCCAGCCCTTCAAACGGCCCGCAAATCGCAGTCAAATCACACGTCATTGGCTGAACTGATCAAAGAAGTGACAGATGAAGAGTCCTTCTATGAGACCATTCATACGGAGCAGTCGTTTGTCAATTGCGAAGACACCGACAAATCCAATCCATATATCGAAGACTGCATCGCAAGAGTGGATCCTTTAGTTAAGATTTTACGACTCATTTGTATTCAGTGTTTCACTAATAATGGCTTAAAGTCTAAAGTCCTTGAGTTCTATAAGAGAGAAGTGTTGCAGACGTATGGCTATCAACACGTCCTGACATTCAATAACTTAGAAAAAGTCGGTTTAATTCGCATTTCTGGCGGTTATTCTCACAGAGTTTACAACGTCTTGAGGAAGACATTGAGACTTACGGTACGAGATATTAATGAAGTGAATCCCACAGACATTGCGTACGTCCACAGCGGTTACGCACCACTCAGTGTACGACTGGCCCAATACCTGGACCACCCGGGCTGGCGGGCCATCACAGATGTACTGAAAACACTTCCCGAACCCACTATTGAGGAAACCCAAGAGATCGCTGCCGGTCTTCGCAAGAGACGAAACTCCGGCGCTTCCATTCAGACGGGACTTCTCGACGACCAGAAACTCATAGTCGTCTTCTTCCTGGGCGGCTGTACGTACACCGAGATCTCTGGCCTCCGCTTTCTCTCGCAAAAGGAGGGCTTTAACGCCGACTTTGTTATCGTCACTACAAATATAATTAACGGCAAAACATTTCTACAGTCATTGAGTGGTCAGTCCTTAAACTAATTGTTAAATCATTTAAAGACAATTATTATGGTGTTATTGATATTACGGTATATTTAATATTTATTTTTATAAAATTAAAATCAAAACCGTTGTAACTGTTGGCACATTTCATTTCATTTACTAATCGATACCTGAAAGACGGTCGCATTTCATTGTGTGCTCTAATTATGATTACCCGTACAGTATTGCCTGTAATTCAGTGACAATCATTTATATGGTAATAAATTAATATAAAACATTCAAATCATAATTAGGCACATATTTAGACAATTGGATTTGAAAATTCCGCACAAGATATACCATTATTTACATAAAAAGTTTTTTATTTGCAACCAAATTGTGTGCAATTAATAAATAATCGGGAATTTAAATGTTTGAATTTATAATAATTTTAGACAAAAATATTGCATCTCATGTAACGCTAAGTTATTGATACATAATTTCATAACTTATACTAAGGCTCTGTTGCTTTAAGACTATGCTTGAGTACAAATCAATGGCCTTTCGTCGCATCCCTGGCCGCTACGATGAGTGCGTGAAGTGTTGTGAGCGGTCGGCATAACTTCAAGAATGGGTGCTATTATTAAGACAAAGCATTGATTAAAACATTTAATGTTATCTTATGGACAAGAGGTTAAGACCTTCAATAGTTCCGATGCCGACCACCTCTTGTCGACATCACATTCAAGGCACTTGTCGAGGAAGTCCTGGAACAGAGGCGACAACTTCTCCTTTTCTTTAATTTCTGGCTTTCCGTTTGTGGCGATTAAGTACAGAGCCTTTGGATCAGTGAACATGAGTTATGGTTAGATACAGTAGACTACAGATATATGGGATATATTGTACAGTATATCTACGGTATAACTCACTCTTAAAGGGTTCTCATTGAGATACGGGGGCTCGCCTTCAATCATCTCTATAGCCATTATGCCTAATGACCAGATGTCCACTTTGGGGCCGTACTGTTTCCGTGTGACAACCTCTGGTGCCATCCAATAGGGTGTGCCAACCATTGTGGTCCGTTTGTTCTGTTCGGGAGATATTTGGGCGCAAAAGCCAAAGTCCGTGAGTTTAACGCTTCCATCCATTCCAAGCAAAATATTGTCTGATTTGATGTCTCGATGAATCACATGATTGTAGTGCAGGAACTCTAAGGCCTGAAGGACTTCGCGACAGACGGCGGCAATCTGCCCCTCGTCCATACAGGTCTCAGTCACCACATCAGTCAGTGAACCCCCCGGCAAGTACTCCATCACTACCCACAGCTCTTCGCCCACGAGATAACTGTCCAAATAGTTGACAACATTCGGGTGTTTGTTCTCTCGCATGACGAGGATTTCATTGACGATGAGTTCCTTCTTTGGTTGTTGTGATAAATTCATTTGTTTGATGGCGACCTCCATTCCCGTCAGGATCTCAATGGCCGTATAGACTGTGCCACTGGCGCCCTGACCTATCTTTTCCATTTTGGTGAACTTGCGGTTCGGGTCACCGATTGTCACAATTCCGCGCAACTTCTCGATTATCTCTTCGTCGCTCATCTTCTTCTTCTTCTGCTTCATCTGTTGGGCCGTCAGCTGAGTGCCGGCGCCCACACCGACACTGAAGTTATTGTTCGTGTTATTAATATTGCAATTATTGTTACTATTATTGTTTGCAATGTCTTTGTCTTTATTCACATTTTTCACTTCACAAACAGGTTTCGTATAAATAGATTTAGTTTTCTCAGGTCTGGCCGCTATTGGCGGGGGACAGGGTTCGCACAACTGGTTGTCACCCGATTGGCTGATCAGCTCGTCGTCGGGGGTCGAGAGCGCCGATGTGGTCGACGAAACGGTAGAGCCGGCAGAACAGTGATTGATAATGAGTTTGGTATGGATTGGAGAGACACTGGCACTGGAAGATGAGGCCAGTGTTGTGGTGGTGGTGGTGGTGGTGAGGGCTGCCAG